CGGGTAAGGGGATCCCCAGCACATTTCCATCCCTGCACCTGCCCTGCTCCCCACAGCAGCTACCAAAATCCCCCCCACCAGCAGCAGCTCTATAAAGCTCCTCTTGCCATCCCTCACACTCAGACAACAGCAGCCACTGCCCTGCCTTAGGCACTGCTGCCACAGCCCCCTTGGCCAGCACAGCTCTGCTCCCCAGCTCGCAGCATGGAAGTTTGTCACTCTCCACACCAATCCAATGTCACTTTATATGGAGCCATGTTTGTGGCCATCATCACAGTGGAGACATTTGCTGGCATGTGGATAAATGCTTTCATTGTTTGTGTGATCAGCATTGCCTGGGTCAAGAAGAACACCCATATGAACTCTAATGAGAAGATCTTGCTGCTTCTTGGAGGTTCCAGGTTTTGCTTTTTGTGCTTCTCATGGATATATTCCTTTCTTTCAACAATTTATCCCTATTATCTTCTGGTTCATCCCATAATGCAACTACTTCTCGGGGCTGGTAGCACTTTTAATTGTTCCAACTTATGGGTTTCTGCCTGTCTTTTTGTTTTTTACTGTATAAAAATTGCCAATTTCAGAAGCAGGTTCTTCATCTACCTGAAAGTAAAAATTGACAGGTTTGTGCCATGGCTTTTGTTGGGATCAGAGATTTACTCCTTGGGTATTGGAATTCTTGGCTATAACATTATTGATAAAGCTGTTTGTGAAAACATCAATTTCACCTGTCAAGGAAGATTTTGGAAAGCTAATATCAGACTAGAGGAACAATTTTCCCCTCTTTATTTTCCCTTTGGCTTTGTATATATCACTACATTCACTGCAGTCATCTCTTCTACCCTTCTCCTTCTCTTTTCTCTCTGGAGACACAAACGCAACATGCAGACAAACTCCATGAGCAGCCTCAGCATGGATGCCCACATCAAAGCCATGAAATCTATTCTCTCCTTCTTAGTCATGTACAGCATCAACTTTATAACATTGATTGTGACAATGATTTATTCCACAAAGGAAGAGAAACCCATGATGTTTCTTATTTTTGTGTTTCTGTATGCTTTTCCAGGTGTTCATTCCCTTATTCTGATTTTCAGCAATCCCAAGCTGGTAAAGATATTGCTAAGGATTCTGATGTATGTGAAGTCCAGGGTTTGCATGAAGTAGGAACTGTAATAAAAGCTGGAGCCCATGCAAAATGTTGATCTTTCACAGTAGAAAACAGATGATGCAATCTGCAACGCAACTCTCCACGCTGTGTAGATTATACAGATGTTTATTCCTAAACATCAAAGTTTGGAAAACTTCATTAAAATTCTTTCAACCAAATTGAACTGAGGTAAATAGATTACTATTACGGTTTCATTTAGACAATTCTTGGAACTATATTATTGTTAGTAACAAACTCATTTGGACCTGCTACATGGGCTGGATGAAAAGGGACAGTAACCATACTCCAGACCTGCCACAAGCACTTTGGCACTTGCAGATTGAAAAATTACTGAACTAACCATCAGGTTAATTTGCATTTGTGTTAACATTTCTTACTGCTGAATTAGCTCTGTTCTTCGTAATGTTATTACTTGTATCACTGGGTGGGGTGGGTGCATCTTGAAGGACTGCAGTCTATGGAGACCCCAAGCTGGAGACGCCTGATCCTGAAGGACTGCAGCCCATGGACTGGATCCACACTTGAGCAGGGAAGAGAGCAAGGAGGAAGAAGGGAAGGAGAGAATGGGTCATGCACTGACTGCAACCGCCATTCCCCATCCCCATGCCTTGCTGTGGGCCAGAGGTGGAGAAGYTGGAAACAAAAGAGTGAATTTTGCCTTGTTATGAAGAAGGTGGGAAGGGCTTCTGCCTTTGTCCATGTTTCTCACCATCCTAGTCGATATTATAAATAGGAATAAATTGAATTGATTTCCCAAAATTTCACTCTCTTTTGTCCATGGCAAAAACTGGTGGGTGATCTCCCTGTCCCTATCTCGACCCATGAGATTCTCCATCCTATTTTCACTCTTGTCCCATTGGAGAGGAGTGAAGAAGAGGCTGGGTGAGGRGGGTCTGGCAGGTGTCCAAGTTTAACAATCCACAGCAGGTCATGTCAATATTAAATAATTCCAACACCAACAGAACA